AGTCTAAGCTGAGAATGCCATGTAAATGGGTCACTGCGAAATGCAGCAATTTAATTTTTCTCCAATAAAAATAAGAAACAAACCAGTATGATGTCACTTCTATTAACTTTTGAAGGTTTACAGCAGTTAAAGTATTTTTGCTTCTATGCATGAAGGTTAAAAAATCATTTGTTTTTTTTCATAAAATACAAGAGCAACCAATTTTCACCATCAAGTAAAAGTAAAAACTTGGATTCTTTTTAAAATTAGTCCATAGTGACCTTCGGGAACTTCTTATAGGCTGCTGCACTGACACCATGACAAACCAGTGTAGGGTCGGGCCTGGTTGTGTTTCGGTTTTCATTTCCATATGCAGTGCTCATGGAGTTAAGCTCTGAGAAGGGTCCAATCATAAGGCAGGGATCTGTTTGGATTCCACCACGGGTATGCTCCCTGGGTTGGATGCTGGAGGGTGAGGCACGGTTTGCCGGACCCATGTCAACTACCTAGTAGTCATCAAGGTCAAAAAATTCATCATCTCCTCCTTGATATTCCATTCCCTGGAAATCTACTCGGTACCGTAAGATACCTCCAATTCCACCAAATCCTTTCACAAATTGGGATCCTCCTTGTGACTTATCTGTGACAATTTCCAATGTAGCTCCAAATTTTTTGTAGTTGTTGGCAAACCATTCCAGTACGGGCATGCTTTCAATCAGCTCATGTTCCTGCCCTGTCTCTTTATCTGTGAAATGAGATTTATCCTTCTCTTGTTCTGCAGTTAGATAGAGAATTTTCTCCTCTTCGGTGCCTTGGCAATGAAGAACATATCTCATTATATCCAGATTTTCATAGACTATTAGAATCTCTACAGCTCCCATTTCCAAAGCCTTTAGTGTATCTTCAACTCCAAAACAGTACTTGCCCGTGTCTTGGCTGATTTCATCAAAGTATCGTCCTATTAATTTCTTCTCTTGAATGAACCTCACGTTGGAGAGGACTTCAGTAGATAATTCAATAGCTTGGTTGAATCCATTTTCACCACTATAGGAGATATCAACTAATTTTAAAACTTTGGATTGCAACCTCTGATCAAACATATCCGATTGGCTTAGTTCAGTTTTAAAGTCAGCTGATCCAGCTAAAATGAGACCAGCCACATT